ATCTCGCGGCCAATTGTTCCATACAAATCTCTTATTAGTATTCCTCAAAGGTTAGTGTCAACAACAAAACCCACACAGTGTCATTGGTCTAGTCAGGGGTGGTTTTAAAGGTTCAAGCCCCTCAAGATGAAAAAATATTCAATTGAGACGATCAAAAAATTTTAAATTTCAATTTCAAATTTCAATGTAAAATATATTTTTTCAGTATGAAGAAACCAGTTATAATTAATATCTAAAGAAGCAAGCAAGATAAATCAACTGAAAAACTATTAGTCTTACTAAAAATTTGTTGCATCAAGTAGATGCTATAATGATAACAACACAATATATGATAATAAATATTATAAATAATAATTATAATATAAATATATTATAATTATGATGATTATATAAAGTCGAAAATGTGTTTAGAAATCCTAGCATTACTTTTTTACTATCTTGCAAACTCTATTAAAAACGCCAGAGCAGTCGCTTCCAAGGCAGCACTCTGAATCATGGCGACACGATTGCCCTTGCTTGCCGCACTCACCACATCTTGCAGACTGAGAAAATTGTTTCAATCGAGATTAAAATGATTTCTGGAGAAAATAATTTTCAAAATCTACCTTGAAAAATCCAGTGAATCCGCTTTGCTTGTTACAGCGCAATCCGTTGCAGCACTTGCTGAAGGGAGAGCACTTTTCGCCATATTTTTTACATTCGAATAATTTTTGATCAACGCCATTTCCCCCTGCTACCTCTCCTCTTTCTTCTCCTTCCCCATCTTCTTCTTGCTTCTCAAATTCTTCTACTTTGAGTCTTGCAAGTTATAAAATTTTATTTCAATGAGGATAAAATTTTGAGAAAAAAATAGCGGGCTAACTCAAGCACGGCCTTCATAATCTCATCGTAGACGTCTGATTTTTCTAGAAAAAGTTTCGGAAATATTAGGAAACGTTTTTATTATTTTTAAATGAGTTCAATAAAATGAACTTATAATCCATTTTATTTACAAAAGAAGTGAAAGAGTCAGCCTAGCAATAAATGCTTATCTAGGGTTGACTCCTTTAAAAATAATAGTTGTTCAAATATCAAAAATAAGAAAAATCCGAGATAAAAAATCTCTTGTGTAAATTTCAAAACACCTGCTCTGGTGGAAAGCAAACCAGCAACAACCAATGATCCAACAAGCATTAAAAACTTCATTCTTCAATCAGATCAAAGTTAGCAATAAGTTTAAAGAGCCAACATCAACCGTAAATAATCCAGGTGAACTGCAACAACAAACCAACTTATAGTCCTAACTAGCTCTTGTATTTCAGACGAATGTGTGTGG